ACTCTTTGTCAGTGAACGGCAAGACAACTGGACGGAACTCCTGCCACTTGCAGAATTCCAGTACAACAATCATGTACACACATCCACCCAACATTCACCGTTCTACCTGGATACAGGCCGCCATCCACGCATGGGATTTGAACCACACGCAGACCCATCACACATTGAATCTGTCAATGAATTCCACAATCGCATGAAGACCACACTTGAAGAAGCCCGCGCAGCACTTGCAAAAGCCAAAAATGACATGGCCCAATACTACAACCGCCGCCGTCGACCTACACCAGAATATGCAGCAGGTGACATGATGTATCTAGATTCACGGGATATAGCAACAACGCGGCCAACACAGAAGCTGGCCCACCGTTATCTAGGTCCATACAAAATCACTGCACGCGTAGGCACCCATGCATATCGCCTTAAGCTCCCCACCTCTATGTCACGCATTCACCCAGTCTTCCATGTTGTAAAACTACTCCCAGCCCCATGCGATCCAATTCCTGGCCGCCGGCCTGCTACAGTTCCTGGACCCACCATTGTGGATGGTGAGGAAGAGTATGAGGTAGAAGAGGTAATGGACAGTCGCTTCTTCCGCAACAAATTGCAATATCTCGTGGCCTGGAAAGGCTATGGATATGAACACAATTCATGGGAAGCAGCTGACAACCTCCATTGTGATGAACTTTTAGCACGCTTCCATCATGAAAACCCTGGAGCACCACGGCCAGTCAACCATGTCCGCTATGGCCACATTCCATTCAGATCCCTTCGTGAGGACACTCAGCCTAAAGGGGGGGTAATGTAAGGGGAACACCCTCACACACCCGGCATCCAAACCAGTGTATGCCTCAGCACTGGATTGCAATAGGAAGTACACATGTACAGACCCTACAGCGCACCTCAGCGCAACCCAGTACACCCCATTGCACTGTACTCGTGATCTTGCATTGTTGTACTAACACCTATTGTACAACCCTGAGTGACATGGCACAATAAGCGATGAGTATCTATTGTGGTCTACAGTATATAGAGACAATACCCTAGTAAGGAATCCTCAGATTATTCTCTTAGGATTTCCCTTACTAGGTCCATTGCATAAGTCTCTAACGCATCCTGCACCCGCTTGCTTAGGAGAGTCACTGCTGACGCAAAAGTAAGGTTGCCCTTACAGCGTTAGAGACTTATGCAACGGACCTAGTAAGGGAAATCCTAAGAGAATAATCTGAGGATTCCTTACTAGGGTATTGTCTCTATATACTGTAGACTACAATAGATACTCATGGCTTATTGTGCCATGTCACTCAGGGTTGTACAATAGGTGTTAGTACAACAATGCAAGATCACGAGTACAGTGCAATGGGGTGTACTGGGTTGCGCTGAGGTGCGCTGTAGGGTCTGTACATGTGTACTTCCTATTGCAATCCAGTGCTGAGGCATACACTGGTTTGGATGCTGGGTGTGTGAGGGTGTTCCCCTTACAGCAATTATCTAATCCCTGAATAGAGGGACTAAGTATACGTATATGTATCATGACCATTCCAAACCCATAATTCCCACTACTTTAGTAGCAGGTTCTGGACCTGAGTTGCTTTGGTGTGTCACAATCATGTGAAGCATTTTACCCATGGTCCCCATGATCAGCTCCCCCTTCTACACTGAACCTCTTATACCCCAGCACCTTCCCCTCTTCTTCACCACACCCACATCATCATAGCACCACTTGTTCCCTACATATTTTCCAAACAAGTTTTCAACTGTGCCTACAATCCTTCCCTCCTGATTTCTGTCATCCCTGCCTCTGCAGCATCATCACATATTGCATCCATTTTGGTCCTCATCCCACATACCACATTCACTACCACACTCCAATTTTCTTATGCCCCTGTACAACACATAATATTACACATTACACCTTGATTGGTTTTCAGTCTACTGGGAATTCTTCATACCCTGCAGTGTTATCCCCCCTTGCCCACCTTATTCTCATTCAAGCCCTAGTTTTTTTCTTTGTGTCCCCCCTTCATCCCTATTGATACCCTTATTCCAGATTCCACTTATTTGTCAATTAATACTGGTCCACATAATATCCTTAAACCTGTACCTGTTCCTGCACCTGCAATAGATAACTTGTCATCTTCTTCATGTTCTCAAAGTCCTGATTTAATCATCAAGCTGTACTTGGCAGTGCCAAGGGGAGTAATGTGGACAATGTTTATGCCTATGGTACATCTAGTACCAGTGCCTGTTGAGAGTAGACAATTAAGTGATATAGCCATTGCTAGGCATGGCCAGTCCAAGTTCTATAATACAAATTTTAAGTGCAATATTAATAGTAAATTACCAGATTTTTTGACCTTGTGATGGGAAGCCTATTTTATGGTGAGCACTGAATAAATGAAATTGAAAAATAATCCAATTTGTGCATACAATGTCAGTATCAATAAATACTAGATAGATAAATGTAGTACATACTCCATGTTATAATTAAATTGCAACACACAACATTGCTGACAAGCCAAACAAGAGAAGCATATGACATTGAAACTCAGCTCAACACTGGAAATAATGGCAAAAAGGGACAGAAAGAGGGAGGTTGTTTTGCTCAGCCAATAGATACCCACCTTAAGAGAAAGCATATAAAATATGAGACCAAACCACCATGAGAAATGAGAGTATAATTCAATAAAACTGAAAAGTCACATGAAAAATTCTCAATTCTTGTGAAGGATTAAGGTTTCAAAGCATCCACCAAACGGAAAGAACCTCATTCTATAAATAGAACTCAAAAATAAGGCATATCCACAGCACAGAACCAAATGTAAACAGATGGATTTTGTTAGGAACAGAGTTGCATGGTATACAGACAACAAAGCTAGTTCCAGAATGTTACCACTGGAGACATACTGTACTATTGAGGTTTCATTGTTGAGGATAAAGAATGCAACATATCTGGTGCACTATCTACCACAAGGGGACAAAAGACTCTGAATTAGCATAGGTTTCAGAGAGGTTTCAGAAGAACATGTACCTCCTGTTGTTGGAAATATCCTCATTTTTAAACAGGGAGCTGATGGCCATATAACTGATGTGAGGAACAATAATGTGTGGTTGATTCTGGATCTAGTTTTGAGGTACATCATTCATGCTGAAACACAATTCAAACTATTGGCCTTGCTAGCTCTGGAGTCAGTGGTTTACCGGCATAATCTTTACAGGTCTGTTGTACACTTAGTTGTGCAATAATGTAAAAGTAGTGGGCCCTGCCGCGACAGCACGCTACCCTTCCATGTCCTGAAAGTCGAAGTCTTCACTGTCTTGCGTAAGGTAGGCGAATACGGGAGCAAGGTTGTGCGAGCTATACAAGGCCCAATGGTCTAGTAGTATGATTCGCCCTTCGGGAGTTCGACTCCCTTCGAATAATTCGAAGTGATTGGGCGAGGTCCCGGGTTCAATTCCCGGTTGGGCCCTCTGTTTTGTTTTTTTCATTTCGTCTTTTCTCAACACAGCTTTTTTAGCCTCCTCAACCTTGATTCTCGGCAGACACCATTTCCGTTCACCCTATCCCGATTTAAACAAACGACTGTATCTTTTCTCAAACATCACAATGCCTCCAACTGAACAAATCATATTCAAAATAAATCTGGAAACCCTTACTTAACCTTCGATCCCGAAATTATGCACCCCCAATGTTGAATATACACTACATAATATCAGATATCATCGTCATATTGATCATTGGAGTAGTGTGGGTGCTCAGAAGCCAAATATGATTGAGCTATACTTATACCTGAGCTGCGATCTCATGCGAATCAGACTCATCCAGAGTTCTTGCTCACACCACATCGACCCAAATGACTTCCACCAACCGTCTAGATCATATTGTCCATCTCGCTCCACCTGCATCTGTCCAAGAGACGTCTGAACTGTTTCGAGAACTTGGTTTCACGTAGGTGCCCCTCGTTCAAGTTACAACATAGATCTTTGGCTCAGCCCATTCTGTTTAGCGTGCTTACTGGGGGCACCCACGAGGATGGTTTGACTGCGAATGCTCTAGTGGTACATATGTCGATATTTATGTTTTGGACATTGCATTTACATGTATCCCGTTTAGGTGTTTCCCACTGGCTCTTACTTTGAGCTCATATCATTCACTGAACCGATTTCTGCATACCCTCCTGGAAGCCCAGAACGAAAGAAGCGCGATAACCACCGCTGGGCCAAAAACCAGCCTGGTTGGGTCGACTACGGATTTCTGGGTAACGGATCTCAGACCGAACGGATATCAGATATCATAAACACTCGAGCCGCAAAAAACGGATATACAAATCCTCTGTATGATCCAGAATTCCATGGTGGGAGGAAGAACCCAGATGGAGAGACTTTGGAGTGGTTGATCACTTCTGCGAACACAAAGTCCGGTTCGGAGTATTGGAAGATGTTACCTTTCTTTTGTGGGGACATTACGCCGAGGCGATTACGGGTGAATCGGGCCTGTGTTGATTTGCCTTTGGAGACTACGACTGACAAGAAACAATAATAGGTACCCATGGATCCACCCTCCAATACCCAGCATCAAAACGCTGCTGTAGGACTAGCCCATATACGACTTTTAGCACTGAGAGATTCTGTCCCAGCTGTTTCCCGACAGTTAACATATGTCGTTGGCAACGAGCCAAATTTGGTAGGATCTTCTTTAGGGCCCACTTATTCGTGGGATATCGATACAGGCGACGACGCCTTACCTTGTCGTCTAATCTTGGGGCGGCCAGAAAACAACGAGGAAGAAGAGTTTTTGAAAGCCGCTGTAGGTGTACCGCTGTTTGAAATCGGGTTTTGGGTGAAGGGCAGGCCAAGCTCAGATTCTGTTATGACACCATACGCGAAGATTGTGTGGGTTACCAAGGAGGGTGCTTGACACAATACCAAATTCTTCATTTAGCTACGCCCGCCCCTTGATTTGTTTGTCATTTTCTATCAAAGTCGAAGAGGCTTCAATACGATGTAAAGATATCGTCTCGGTGCCTTGCGTTGTAATTTGTCTAGATCCCACTCTGAATCGGGCGCCAATGTAAACACCACCACTCCCTGTAGCTTCACTAGTGATGCTTTCGCTCTGTGTCCTCTCCAACGCGGCAAGTAAAATGATGAATACGGGGTATATGGCCGTGAGATGAGGGAATACCGCAAACATAACGTCAAACGCGAGATTAGATAAAAGGCGATAACGGGTAACCAGCACTAAGATCTGTTGAACCAATGACAATCATTGACCATGTGAATCTAGTTGGTATGCAACAACACTCACCCAAAGAGAGCAATAAATAAAACCGGACTCAATAAGAAGGATCATTAGTTTCTCCACAGTTGAGATTGCCGACCCCCTGCTAAGCGTTGACCTTACTTCAACACGATATAACCTGAGAAAAAATATCAAAAGTATCAGTAAGCTAATCCCATCTGAACAGATATGGACGTGCCATGCTTGATATGCGACCAATGAAGTTGCAAAAACGTTCGTTATGAGCAGGGGGAGTGTCAGAATAAGCGTGCTTGCACCAGCGGGTAGTGCAAATCCATCTGCATTAACCTCAGCCACAACCGTAAATGCGCCGTCTATAATGGCGGCAGCTAGAGGACGAGAATAAGTCTAAACACGCCTACTGAAAAAGAAAGTGAAAAAAACGCATACCTGTCGAAAGCAGCATGCATAATACCAACAAGATTTTGGCGTACTTATTCCTAGCCCAAAAAATCCATGCTCTGTTGCAAAACGGGATCACGACATACGATGGTTAGGAGAATATGCGCTCGGTTTGGTATGACATACCTCCAGACCACAATCACGTCGCTCAGGACATAGTTAAGACGTTCCAAACAGTTGGATACCGCGGTCCACGTGATGAGAAGTGAGGAGTCATCGGGCGGGGAGGGACCAAGAGCATCGATAAGCTTGAGTTGAAGGAGGATACGGATTATAGAAATAGACGTCGAGGAAATGAACATTATGATGATGACTGTAAAAAGGAACTTGCGAGAGAGGGCCTTGAGACCTTGTGAACTGGGGATTAAATGAGTGTACAAGATTTGAAATTTGATTATTGTTTTCAAGACGTGAGTAGACTCACACTAGAATATAAAGCGTTCCTAAGGCAAGCGCAGCATAAAAGCCTATCAAATGAGGTTATAGTGCTGACGGGTTGGTACTAAGCTGAGGGAAGCATACCCCAGAAAACGTATTGACACCCTATAACAATAATTCCATCCCTCAACGCTGCGATATCCGTAGCCTGAAGAGGGCCTTGTGGGGGACTGTACATTTAGAGTTATTCGGAACGAGCTTCCATTTCCAACTTATAGGCAAGGGATGACAGAACCCGATCGGGTAGCACCACTTGATGCTGTGATATCGGGAGATCACGCCGATGATCGATGATTCTTGAGGCGAAGAGAGTGCAGGGCTCAAAATGGCTGTTTGAAGCTATTGTCCTGCTGTTAATGCTGGAGCCGCGTGTTTTGATAGAAAAGGGTTCCGACGTGCATGCCTAACGGCTGGACGTTTCGTCCGAATAAAAATTGAAGCTTCAAAGCTGGTCGGTCGCCCAAGCGTTGCAGCAATCGCCGTGATCGGTAGCCCTTACGACATCCGGCAGTGGGGAAGTAAAATTTGACTTCCCTTTGATGCTATTTCTGGGGACGGGTAAGGAATTACCGTGCATCATGCACACCCCTTTATGTTGCCAACCAAAAATAACTGTAAATTTTTTTTCTTTCTGTAAAACGGGAGACAAGAAGATTAGGCACTATCAACTGTATCAGGTAAAAACCCACATTGGCCGAGCTATGCGCTGCTATGCATTATAATTCACGCAAATGAGGCAGGGTTGGGTATCGACCGAACCGGTGCTCGACAAGAGAGAAAGGGTATTGAGAGTGTGAACTGAACCGCGATGAACTGAATAGCAGTGTTTATATAATAATTCAATTTTTTTTATTCATTCTGGAGATTTGAAGATGGCCGTTCAAGTTCAACTTGCATCGCCCAACCTGATCGTGAGAAACTACCAATACCATATGCATATGGCCACAATTTTCCGATCATGAGTTTATTTTTTGCGACCTTGGCCATCTCTTACGCCCTTTACACTTGGTACTATCAGCTTTTCAGTTCTGAAATGCTACACGGAGGTTAATCCAATACCAACACGATCCATCGGATGGTTGATCCGAACTTGAACTGATACGTAAAATAATCTAAACACCCTTGAACCTTCCACCTTGATTAGGAATGTCTAGAGAATGGGTTGACGATTGGAGAACGCTTTATCAGAATTTATGTGAAAAAGGATGACCTCGTCATATACATTGATGTTGGTGGTATCAACCTGCAATATTTTGTTATTGACATTCATAGATTCGCCAACATTGCGCTGAATCTGGGTAGAGGACTGGGCATCGTGTCTAGTATATTCTTGGAGCCCGACCAATTCTTAGCGGCCAGCCGCGACTCCCTCACCCCAGTACTTACGCTGGACCAAAGTGTTATGCATTTCGGGAGAGGTAGAAACTACCTGTACCTTTTTTCCACACCTTTCTGGAGAAGTACAATACTACAGCAAGAATTTGAACATTGAACATCTTTCAAATGCCAATAGGAACTAACATTGGGGCAGTTGAGTAGGAGTAGGACGAAGTTTTCTGTGATGTAATACTGATTCGCAAACCACGGTTATAACTTATGAAGGGATACCAATACAGCTTCAAATACAGCAACGAAAAGGTATGACTAAAACATCAACCTTCGTTTACAGCCAAAGCCCTGATAAGACGTTTTGCATTCTCAGATCTGGGCGTGATGGAACACTCGAAAGGCATAGGAACGCTAATGGGAGAGAAGTTTAAAAACGATGACAACAAGTCACTGGATATAACATTGCACTAACCAGGCTAGACCGGTTCGCGTCTCATTCTTGGGTTCAATAACGTTTCCATCCTCATCCACGGCTTTCGTGATGTCAAATGTGGCAACCATCAAAGCTACTGCAATCCATATGGCAGAAGTTGCCATGTACCGCGCCGGACAAATCCTGTGTTAGAATTAGGTCAGTGGGTAGATCAATTTACCACAAAAGACAACGCATTACCGTCGTCCAAAACCAAACGCTGCGTGTGCAGGGTCTCTGATGGCTGGATTTATCTTTCCATCTTTCATAAACCTATCTGGATTAAATCGGAATGGTTCAGGATAAATGGTTTCGTCATGAAGCATCGCCCTGGAGCTGGGTCAATAGGCCAATCATGTTAGTATGCACTAGCACATACCAGGCGTTCGGAACGACGATCGACCCTGCTGGAAGAAAATATCCTTTGTATTCATCATCGACGTCAAGCAAATGGGGAATAGCTAAAGTTGGTATATTAATAGAGTTCCCATCTGGTCCGGATATAGTGCGCACCAATTGGCGTAACA